AGCTGTGGCATTTATTCTAGTAAAAGCTACTGCACTTACAATGAATACACGATACTTGTTCCAAATGTTTATGTATGTACGAAAGACTCCGCGCCCACATCCCATTCAAAAGAAAAGATTCTGAAATGTTCAGTTTCGACGTATAAGTATATTAAAACGAAACGTGATATGTAATAATGGGCAAAATATTTACAAATATGAAAAATAAAAATAGTTCTATTTTATTTATAATGTCCTGTAAACTCCAAAAATTATCATTGAATACAGCTATCTATCTCCTGTAAATATATGTATTTACAGGAAAATCCGTTCCCGAGTCTTGACATATTACCCCCTAAACCCAACTCATTCAAATTAATGAATGAATACTTAATCAAAAAAAAACTATTACTTTTATTGTGAGATTTAACAAATAAACTAATGTACCCAAACATTAAAAAATTCATTTATGGCTGCAAGAGAGCAGAAAACTGGAAAGTGCGAAAGATACAAGAGAGGAGAAAGTTGACCTCGAAAATGACCGTGATCGTCAATGTATTGTACTACCGGTGTAATGTATGTAACGCACGTATTATAGCTATAATTGACATTTATTTTATTTATTTATTTATTCATCAATAACACAGAGCTCAGTGCAAAACCTCTATTAAAGACTACATGACACTTCAAACAAAAATTATATTATATTTACAAACGTGCTCAAGCTATAAGAGAACCAAACTACCAAAAAATTCCACATTGAAGTAAAATATAAAGTTGTTGCATTGTGGGTCTTATCACGTCCCCACATTATTTCGACTGGACGGTTTTTGTCTTTGTTTTTGTTTTCTTCTTCCATTTCTCCTAAACGTCCACCGACGCGGCGAAGAGTGCATGGCGCGGTCTGGGCCGGCGAGGGCGCGCGCGCCAGCGGGCAGCCGTCCCCTCGCCCGCGAACACGGCGCCGGCCACCGCCAGCCCGGCGGCCAGCTGCGCCAACGCCGGCGCCACGTGGTGAGCGCGCAGCGGCTGCGGCGCCGCGGGCCGCGTCGGCGCCTTGGCCACGCGCAGCAGCCCCGCCAAGCGCAGCATCTCGGCCTCCGCGCGCCGCGCCAGCTGCGCCCGCAGCCCCGTCTGCGCACACGCGCCGCGCAGCTCTGTCACTCCAAGGCCGAGGTAGCTCCACTAATGGAACTAAAAGAAGGGAAACGACACGATTCGAAGCGAAACGATAAGTAACCAAACGATAAGTAACGAAACGATAAGCAACCACACAATAAGTAACGAAACGATAAGTAACCAAACAATAAGTAACCAAACGATAAGTAACGAAATGATAAGTAACCAAACAATAAGTAACGAAACGATAAGTAACTAAACAATAAGTAACGAAACGATAAGTAACCAAACAATAAGTAACAAAACGATAAGTAACCAAACGATAAGTAACCAAACGATAAGTAACCAAACGATAAGTCACGAAATAAGTAACGAAACGATAAGTAACAAAACGATAAGTAACAAAACGATCAGTAACCAAACGATAAGTAACGAAACGATAAGTAACGAAACGATAAGTAACGAAATGATAAGAAAAGAAACGATAAATCACGAAATGATAAGTAACGAAACGATAAGTAACAAAACGATAAGTAACAAAACGATCAGTAACCACACAATAAGTAACGAAACTATAAGTAACGAAACGATAAGTAACCAAAAAATAAGTAACGAAACGATAAGTAACCAAACGATCAGTAACCACACAATAAGTAACGAAACGATAAGTAACGAAATGTTAAGTAACGAAACGATAAGTAACGAAACTATAAGTAACGAAACGATACGTAACGAAACTATAAGAAACGAAACGTTCAGTAACGAAACTATATCTAACGATACGATCTGAAACTACACAAAGCAGTATGAAACAAAAAAATAGCAAAGGGAAAATCTTACGGTTAGAAATCGAAAGTAACTAATGGATACGAAATAATTTTCAAAAATTATTAAAATACGAAGGAAAAGATACGAAACTCCAAGAAACGGAAAGAAATGCAACGAAAAGTAGAGAAACAAAATCAATTGAGAGGACAATGCTTGGATTGAAATGCCATCTCGAACACTTAACTTGAATTTATTCAGAGCTGCCGCTGACGTAAATCAGCTGTTCGGTATCATCCAAGCAGAAGTTGAACGTCATCATAACGACGTCATTGTTGTGACGTGTAAGCACGGATGACATCGTAACAGCTGATGACCAGTCAAAGGCAACTGTAAATAAATCGCTGTATAGCAAATGTTGTTGACGTTTTATCGCTATGTTCTATGTGCCACAATAATTCCTTTTTCTTAACAAGGGGCGTGGCGTAATTTGTTATCACACGATTGCAGATAGCTATCACTCATACTAAATATGTAAATCACAATTACCAGCACGTGCAATGTTAAAAGGTTTAATAAGACTTTCACGATACGTGCATCTGACACTACTCACGTCAAACTTGACCTAATATGTTGTACGCTTATTATATTTAATATCCGCAAATATATCGAAAAGATGGTATATAAATAGTGAATAATATTTTCAAGTCAGTTGTGAAGTGGTAATAGAAACATGTAGTATACTAAAATTTAAAAAAAAAAATATTCTTAAAGCATAAAAAGCCCTACCTAGAAATCTATTTTAAAACTCCTTTTCTCCATAGGTAGCCTCTAGCACTACAAGTTGACTTGCTTGTAGCAAACAGTTCTTATCCACGTATTTTGCGGGCCAGTACATCAAATCTAAGCGAACGCTTCCTGATGTTATAATAGGCACTCCGCATACAACAGTACAATGGGATCTCACAAGGTCGTAGAGACGTCACATTAGAAGGTATCAGACTGGTTGGTTTTGTTTGGGCCGCTCTTTAGGTTTTTACGACCTCTTCCGTGACCCGTCTGCTCCGATAAATCTCTGGTCTCCCGCATAAGCTACTTGTTCCTGTTTTTGAAGGTACGAGAACTTTCTCCTACTCGGTTGTCGGGGGGCTAATTCAGTCACGAGTAGGTACTGTATTTGCCCTGTTGCGTTACCCCATAGACGCATGTTTGCAGTAAGGAACCAATTTGAGGCAGGGCAGGGAAGGAAGTTATGATTAGTAGGGTAGTAAATTGTAGTGCGGACTACAATTTACACAACAACAAACACAAACAAAAACACAACAACGTCCTTGCATGACGCGGATTTCAAACCCACAGCCCTAGTGTAACCTCTTCCTGGATGTTACTGCGCTACCAGTGCGGTAAGGATAGAGGAAGAGAGTTGCAAGGCGATACATATTGGTTGAGATTCAGTAGCGTATCGAAATGAGTGCGCCCGCGTCCGCAAAACGTGTATCCGGTCCCCCTTTGTAAAAGTGTATAGCAAACACGAGTAATGATACTACTACGTTAAATGTTTTTAAAAAATCCTCTAAAAACGGGCCCCATATTATCTGAGCCCACGGGGTTAACAATCGGGCCTTGCGGGCCCGAACGTTACTCCACTGTTGAGATTTTTCGTTGGGAGAGACGACGTCACAATACAGAAGCGAACGCCACGTTCAGGAGCGACCCTTCAGATCGAGACTGCTTAGGCGGACTCGCCTAAACAGTCGCACACAAATGGGAGCAGGAATCAACGATGAACCTCAATCACGTTTGTTCTTGTACCTGTTTTCATATAAGGACTTAGACTTTCACTGTTTTAAATATTATTCTTAGAACATTTATTATCGCTTAGTGGTAGTTTCTTCTTTCAACAGGTATCGGATGTTGAGACAAAAATCGAAGCGATCGCCGTGAGTAATGGTTTTGCGAAAACTGTGATCTCTTACATCTAGGTCTGCCAAAAAACACGTTTCAATTTTATTTTAAAGTCTATTGATGTAGACAAGCAATCTGTACAAGTGTAGGAACATTGTAAATGTTGAACTGATTCTTGAAATTAACAAAAGTTACCATTACCATCTGTTTTCCGCAGAATGGACCAGAAATACAGAAAATGTTCAAAATGTATAAAGATTTTCTATACCTCAAAAACTAAAAATATTTTCAAACAGACTGGCCGAAAGGATTGCACAGTTGCTACACAGTTTAATTATTAGTTGTTTTTTTAGTTTCACACTATTTTTCTTGACCTCTAAAATATTAATATTGCTTTTTCTTGACTTTAAGTCAGTTGTAAAACGAGAGAAATTCTACATTATTTGTTTGTTAGTTGCCGAACTTTCGGTCCTTTACTGGGCCTTCCACTGTGTCGCGTCAAAACCACCAAACGAACGTCTAGGCCACCGAACCGAAACGTCCGCAACATACGAATAATACAGAATTTCTTTCTTTCTACAACTGATCAAACTTAAGAAAAAGTTAATAACATTTTTTTAATACAACTTATTCTGGTATTCGGCGTTGAGCCTCCCATTAGACTTCTCCGGGTTCCGGTTTGGCATTAGTGATGCGACATCGATAACATAATGTTTGCTAACATCGATGTTAAAAATTAAAACATGGATTTTAAAAACACACGGACTAAAAACCATCGATGTTTTAGACTGGATTACTAACCTCCCATATTACATTAATTAAAGTTCGTATTTATCAATTCGCCGACTATGGGTACGAGAAGCGGAAGTCCCTACACTCACAGCGTATTTGCTGGCCAAATCTTAATATGTGAAATGAATTTGAAGAAAGGGGAAATACAAGGGTATGAAGGTCATCTCAGGCGAGAGAGTCACGTCGATGAAGATAGTGAAAACAGCGTTCCTTTGGTTCCAACACATGAATAACAGTGATAATATCAGTTATTATTTCAGATTTTATCGTAGCGCTACGTAGCGCTGCTTTGCGCTGCTTTGCGCTGCGTAGCGCTGCGTAGAGCTGCTTTGCGCTGCGCTGCGCTGCGTTGCGCTGCGTTGCGCTGCGTAGCGCTGCGTAGCGCTGCGTAGCGCTGCGTAGCGCTGCGTAGCGCTGCGTAGCGCTGCGTAGCCGCTCACCTGCACGGCGCGCCGCACCACGTCGTCCAAGGCGGCGGCGAAGGGCGAGTGGCGGCGCGCGGCGTAGCCCGTGGGCAGCGCCGTCAGCGGGCACTCGCGCGCGCGGTGCAGCCTGGGCTCGCCCTCCCCGCCGGCGAACGCCCCGTGCCAAGGGGCGGAGGCTGCCAAGGGGCTGGGCGCGCACTCCGGAGGGGTACCGGGAATCGAACCGAGAACGACACCGGGAGCGGAACCGGAAGCAAAATCGGGTGATGAATCTGGAGGAGAACCGGGAACGGAATCGGGAAAGGAGCTGGAAAAGGAACCCAGAACGCAACCGGAATCCGATCCGGGAGCGCAATCTGGAGCGGAAACGGGAGCAGAACCAGAAACAGAACCTGGAGTAGAACGGGTAATAAAACTTGGAACGGAACCCGGAGCAGAACCGGAAACGAAATTGGGAGAGGAACTGGGAACGGAACCGACAGCGCAACCGGGAGCCGAACCAGACTCCGGGGCGGGAGCGCAACCAGGAGCGGAACTGGTAGCGGAGGCGTGAGCTGTGCAAGCGACAGGCACTACCCCGGAAGTGCCCCCAAAGCCGGGCCAGTCGCCGTCTGTTGAAGCCGTGCCAGCGGCCGTGGGCCAGCCCCCTGAGGGAGACGTGGAGGCTGGGGCGGCGCGGCCGAAGAGGTAGTAGGGCGCGGCCGACTCGTCCAGCAGCAGCGCGCGCCTGCTGTCGCCCTCCACAGCGCTAGCCGCCGCCGTCCACGCCTCCGAGCCGTCCGTCTCCACGAAGCGGGCGCGCAGCTGGCTCATGGGGTCCCACGGCGCCGCCGGCTCCCCCGGCTGCGCCCACACATGCACACATACGTAGCATACCAATGACAGTCTTATATTTACAATTGAAGGCACGAGCGCAATTGTGGTCTAATTTGCCAACAATGAAAAATGCGTTATTGACACCATTGCTATCTAAGATGGACTATCTTTTTATAATATTTTGGTTTCTTATTTTTGTTATTTAAGGTCGCATTAAATACTAGGTCATTAGCGACTAATTTTGGGTGTAACGGTATGGTAACTATGAGGATGACACGATATGATGATAGAGGTGTGAAAAGACGAACACAATACAACCATACCCGAGGTGGGTCTCGAACTCACGATCCTTCGGTCCGAGATCGCTACAGCACTACTGCCTTAGCGATCTCAGCCATCCGGATCGTATTTTTTAATTTTTTTTTTTACTTTTTAAATTACATATATAATATTTTGTTTTGACAATTTTCCTTCTATATCATTTTAAGAACTAAGTCCACTATTTTCCTCTTTAATAACTCTTTTCTAATGGAACTATTGTAACTTTACTCGATTTTTTCGACATTTTCCTTAAAAATGTAGATTTGACCAACTATCAGCACTGATCCCTTGCATTTCCTCTCCACAGTACCGCTGTGGAGGCGAGAATTTATTTTCATGATTTGGTTACATCGCGCCACTGCCTTACAGCTAGAGGGGGCTGTTTTTAATAACTAACTTAATTTTAGCTTCAATCTAATTTAACAGTTATTAATACCACTTTGGTGTACTTGACTTGTACATTTATTTAAATACTAATTAATGTCCATTCATTTGCTATTTTATTCTCGGTATGTTTTCATTCACGCACCATACATACTTATTTCATTATATACATCAAACTTTATACATTCCATTCACTCTCACTGCACTACACAATGCCATTTCCGCAATCGGACAACATCAGTGGGTGAGGATAACGGCGGACTTCAAAATAAATGGTAAAATAAACGAAGAAAAAATTATCAAAGAGAAGAATTTAACGGAGAAGATTGCGAAGAGCGTAAAGCATGAAAAATAAAATGATTTTATAAAAATAATCAATGTGCAGGTTTTGGAGACGCGAAGATATTTTAAACCATTGATTTACACCTGTGAAATAAAGCAAACTAATTTAATGCAAATTACGCAATACAGGGTTATCTGAAAGAACGGGACTGAGCCGGTTTTGGATTTAAGAATATTTCGGATTAAGCGGGATTATTATATTATCATTCCTAGTATCCGCATAAATTAGTAGTTATTGAGTAGAACCTACGCTCGGCCGCGATTACAGTGCAGCACGTGACTCCGCAACCCTGATTCCGTCAATTCAAATATTTCTGTTTCTCGTGGTTTGTATTTTAGAAAAAGTAGAATTTTTCTTCGGCAATACCTAGAAATATCTTCAGCGCTTCGACCCGCTTTACACACAAACTTCTGGGCGTTACAGAAGAAGAGAAATTGTCAAAAACCGCTGTAGTAAAGCAGTAAAGGAGTGTTTCGGAGCACAATGTCATAAACATTTGTTTATCGAATTAAGACTGTGGTTACTTTACCTGAATTTATTCATCATATAGCATATCGAGTAATATTCTTCCCGTGACGCAGAATTGTAATATAATTTTTTTTCAGATATGGGAAGAACCTTTTAAGCAAACTTCAAATTGCTTGTCAGCAAAATTTACCACTTGGCTTGAGGTAAAAAAAAACCCACAGACTCCTCGATGTACGCGGTTGCAAACGCATGTCGAGGTCATACTGGTCGGCGTTGCCACTGCAATGACAGGACAACGTACCGACGAGGACGCGGCTGCAGCACTCAAACTGTGAACACGGGCTCGTTGGCTTCCGCGGCCGGAGCCATTGGATACTTGGCTGTCCGAGATGAGACGCGTCTCAATCGATCGAGTTGACGTTTCGGCCATCGTGCTGTGGCCTTCTTTAGCTATCACACTTTATGCAAACTATACAGCAGTATAGCTCCGAAGAAGGCCGCAACAGGAAGGCCGAAATGTCAGCTCGATCGACTGAGACGCGGCTCATCCCGGACAGCCAAGAATCAAACTGTCAACACATTTACCAAAATTATGTTGTGAATGTACAGACTATCAACAAAGCGAAAATCCACAGTCTTGCAACCAATAGAGTTTGCATGCCTTTTACGTCCTTCATGTAGTTTCATCTCTGTATAAAAATGAAGAACCTGTTGGAATATATTTAAATCTTTCAAAAGCTTTTGACGTCACTGATCATAGCATATCACTTTCGTTTGGAATTCGTGGTGTTGCCTTAGTGTGGCTATGTTAGTACCTTAAACAAGGAATGCAGACAGTAAAAATAAGGCACTGGAATTATGGAACATTATTTACTCACCTTTCCGATTCATTGCAAATTGCACGTAGGGCGCCGCAGGGTGCGGTTTTAGGCCATATTCCCTTCCTACTATTCGTAAACGATATGACCTCGACCATTCAAAATGGAACAAAACTTCGCTTTGCTGATGATAGGAATATACTTTACAGTGCATATTCAGAAAATAGTAATAGTATATCAGACGTTAAAACTTGTTTCATAATAACAAATTAACAGTAAACAAATGGTAAACGAATTCAATGCGGCTTTCCAATTCCAATACACAATTGTATGCCCGATTAAAAATGAGCGATGTTGTATTGATTGTTATTGGGGTAAAAAAAATTTTGGGTCTCTCAATTCAGTCAAACCCCAAATGGAACGTACATTTAAGTGAATTGACCACAACATGAAGTTCAATATGTTACGCATCCAGAATTCATTAAAATACAGCCAGCCTTCATAATGTTCATTTCGCGAATGTACATTCCCGCCTGAGATATGTCATAATATTTTGAGGAAACACATCCTGTAGCTCCCAGTCTTTTGTATTGAAAAAAAGAACTGAAGGTGTCGGGGGAATATAGAGCTACCCTTCATGTGTATATTTTTTTGTCAGCCAGAGGAAAAACAAAGTTTTAGTACAATGGGGCCTGTATTATTTATATTTACACTACTACCTACTTTCTCCTCCCGTACTGTAGTTCTAAGAACACGTTTGTTTTGCATTTCGATCATATAATGTTTGTTTTTAGGAGATATTCTAAATCCTATGGTTTGGATTTATGAAATGAGAGTAAGCATTGTCTTCTCCCGAGTTCTTCAATAGTATGAATAATAAGCAAATCCCACCCACATGATTTTTTTAAGCCTCATTATACGTATTAAGGTAGGATTTTTAAACTTTCCTTTTCTTTTGATTTATGAAATATATTTTCGGTCAAAAATGATTTATTAAACGACGTGTACATATTTTACGGGCAAGCAGATTACTATAACAAGGACACACGACGTAGTAACCATATCCATTAGGTGTGAGTATCAATAGCTCACTACAAAAAATTCACATGCAAATTGTGCAATACAAATCATAAAACATTAACAGATAACATTAAACGATCAAAATCGATACAAAACTTAAAATTTCAAATAAAATATTTTCTGCAGCATGACTGGTTTTATACAATTAAACACTACCGAGCATCAAAAAGCAAAGCAATATTACGGTATTTATAGTATTAGTTACCATTTGTACTATATTCTTCCAGAGGAGTAAATATACAAGTATTATAATAATTTAATTTTGTAAAGCCATCGGCATTTTTCTGAAAACTTAATTCCAATAGAGACATGTTAATTGGCACGATTGTTTTGAACTGTTACTACCGTAAATGGATTGTTTACTATAACATTGTATTTTTATTGATTAATTGAATCGGTAAAAACCAGAACGGTATAAGTGACGTTTTATTAATTCAGAGAAATCTTTTCATTTAAGTCACGATTGCTGTAAAGTCGTGATGCTTTGTTTCATCATTAAAACCACGGCATTTTAATTGTTCATTAAAACTTCGCAAATACATTGCCACTGAAATATACCCTAAAATAAACACGTTGTTCTTAGAATTTATAAAATGTCACTTATACCGTTCTGATTTCACCCATTCAAGTGATGTATTTATTGATTGTTAATGTTACTGATGTATTGCAACAGAAATAGTCGCTTATATTCACATAGTTTATACGACTAAAAATAATCCCACAAATGGATTGTCTCTCTGCTTCGAGGTCAATGGCCCTCATCTCGATCAGGTTTTTCGTCCAGTTTTCCTGATTCTTTGACAGAATGCTGAAATGGCCCTTTGTGTTGCTTCAGGCCATAAATGTAACTTCACGTTTCAGTGCACGTTTTCTGGAGTTCATTGGGAAATTTAGTAATTCAAACTATCTTTCTCCGTGTTCTCACGTCAGTAAATCGATTCCATTGCAAAGGACACGATGAGGGATAATAGTAAAAAAAGTTGTACCTGATTTGCCTTTTCGTAGTTTTATTACACTGAAATGAATATTTCTTAACAATTCTTTCCAAAAGCGCTTGTTTCTACCTGTAGCAAACTTTAAATATTTCTTGAATAAGGGTAAAGATCCCGAAAATTAAGAAAACGTCCCCAGGCTACACTCCATAATACATCAAGTCGCACACAATGTTCAACTGTTTTTGACGATAGATTTTTTCGACCTGGGGCTTCTCCAGCTTCAGTGGAAGTCAAATTCGTCTATTCGCGCGGGGTACCCACAATGTCCCTCATGGGGACACACATTAACCTTTCACTATACACTGACACACTTGCCGGCTCCTCGGTCTGTGGTCAACAGACTGACAATGCATTGCGCGACAACACACATACATAAAACACAAGGGACCAACAACCATGCACGGGCGACACTCGAACCCACGATCCCTCAGACAGGGGCACTGATTTGGCATACGCTCTAGCCACCTCGGCCATCCAGGTCGGCTGGCAATATATAAATAAATAAGTAAATTCATTGTCATTTGGAGCAATTGATACATCGCGCTAAGAGGGATGCCGCTTTTATCCTGTAGCTATTCAATTCACTGAGAGGTATCGAGATGCGTTTCTCGCTATGGCGGTAGAAACACAAAATATTTTGTAAGGTCACCGCACAGTTCGCGAGACCTCGATGTAGGCCGCGAGGATGGGAGTCTCCTC